TTGCCAGTGTTTAAAGGAGATTTTAAGTAGAACTTAGATTTTAAGTAGATTTTAAGAAAGAACTTAGATTTCTTACTTCCTTCGAAAATCAGATCTTCTAAAGAGCTAAGGTTTTTATTTTCACAGGAGAACCATGTGAGGAACAGCTGCTTTTTTTAAAAAAAAAATTGTTGTTTCTACCACTGTCTTCATCTCCCCACCATTGAGCCTGTGTCAGAGGCCATTTATCCTCATGACACTGCCATGATCATGCCAGCTTGCTTCACTCTTGTACCAACCTGGTCGTTAGAGGCATTTGAGTTTGTGGCCTGTGCTGTGCACATCATCCCTGGAGATCTCATCAATTACAATTATTTCCACCTATTGGACTTTAAGTAGTTCTACCTATTGGACGTTTTCAATGCAATCTGTCTTCCTAAAGCATACTGCACCAAGTGTGGCTGTACAATTACTCTCAAGAGCGTTTTTGTTTATATTGGTTAATGTCACTTTTTTAGGTCACTTATAATTAAGGCCATGTTAAGAAACTTTTCATTTTCAAAAAGGAAAATTTTTTTTCCTGAATAACTGTTACACAGGCTTTCTCTTTTTGTCCTGGCTACCAGAAAGTTCAGAACTCAGTGTGTCATAATCCTGGTAGTATTTCTGCCCTCATTTTGTGTGTTCTTGTTCTCTATAATATTAATGCTAACTATTAAAGTGAACACACACATACTCATGTTCTACAAACAACTTTTGGGTTCATTTTGTGAGAGATTAGGCTTGAAGACATCAGTATAGACTTATTCTTAACTTTTCAAAACCATCCTCCACATTGACAATCAGATTTGTATTTATAAAATATGAATCAGGCCACATTATTATTCCCTTGTATATTTAGGGATTCAGCATGTCTTTGTCTCATTTATAAGAGATCTAATTTGTTTATTAGAGTGTCCAAGACCCTTCATTACATTTCTCAAACCTATGTTCCCATCCGGAACATTCTCTACTTCGGTCCCACAAACCTGGTACCTCAGTAATGAATTACTTCTAGTTCTCCAAATGTACCAGGGTATTTCCTACCTCTTGACTTTCACAATACCATTGATTCCCCCTATAATCACTCCAGTATTTTATAGGTGAGTCACTCAAAACAAATATTACATTGTTCTGTCATTTTAAAATGAAATGAACAACTACTCGTATTTATTTTGTATTTTGTGCTGTACCCAATATTTTGTATAAAACTGTATTAATTGACTATGTAGCTGGCTTTTGATTTGGTGAGATTTTCACAAAATTTAATAACTGATCAGGATGTATTTATGACTATAAATAATGGGGAAACTTTTAAAGAATAATTATTGAGTGCTGACTGTATGCCAAGTTATCGTTTAAATATGTAATATGTATTTATTCACTCAATCATCCCAGCTACCTTACTGCCCTATAATTTTTGTCCTCATTTTAGAGATGAGGAAACTAAAGCTCAGAGGAATTAAGTAATTTTCCCAGTAACACACAGCTAGTAAGGAGTGGGATCAGGGTTGACTCCTAAGGTCTACGCCACAGGTGATGTTTATCTGCTCCATTACTTTCCATTTACATGTTGAAAGTATATCACTTACAACACCAAATAACAACTAACCTCAACTTCCATTAGTTCTATCAGTTCTATCAGCTCTACAGGAAATGCTGGGGTTGAGTCCTTAAGGTATCCACCAAGAATAAATTACATCCTTTGCATCAAGCATTTCTTCTCTTTCATATTCAACATAGTGAATTCAGAATGGAAACAACACATCTCTAAGCTGCTGATGGTGTTGCAAGCACCATTCACCATGTTTTGAACATTATAGCAGTGATGATCAGAAGACAATGAGAGAGTATCCTGTGGACCTACATTTCTGTAGCTGGAGGCCCTGGTATCTGTAGCAAAATGATGAGCATCGGTGAGCCAGGTCCTGGGCTCAGAGACACCTGAAGACCAGAAGGTGGTGGCAGGTTCCTCTGACTTCCACTACGTGACCCACTAGTTCAGCTCTTACCACATCACTCATAGCTGATTTTGACATAGGTGTTTAACTAGTAAACAATATGCTTAGATGCCCTGGCCTATCTCAGTAAAACGACAAGTGAAATGCAAGAGTCTTATCCTTTTGTTTTAGAAAGTATAGCTTCAACCAATATATTCGTTAGTTTCTTGGAGAAAAGCTAGATTCATAGCATTCCATTTTGTTTTAATCGACATGAACGTGTGAACATGTACTGTTTTCTCAGTCTTTTTTTTCTGATGCATGGTCTGGACGTTGGCTCAGTGAGACTTATTTATTAGTGAGAAAACTAATAGGAACATATTTGGAGATGCAGAACTCAGTAGAAAGCCAGAGCATTTATTTGGATGGGATCTTATTCTAATAGGAGGCAACATCATCAGGAAGAAATAAAGATCTATATAAGTTGCTCCAGGAGGGGGCTAAATCCGTTATTTGGCTATTGCGATTTCATCAAATTGATCATTGTAACTGTCATCTTTGTCTTGAAAAGCGTCTGCCACTAACAAAGCCTGTTCCCCGTGGAAAACTATTAGCTCTCAGTGAATTAGTTAAAATTATGTAGCACACTGAACAAATTGACTCTGGTATAAGACAGCATTTGATCGTTCACACTTTGATGGGAAATATTGAAAGGAAACTTCTACATGCAATTAGGTCACATGAAGTCAAGTTAGCATGAAGTCAAGCCTTTAATGTTTTTTTAATCCCCTAAGGAGTATTTTCTTAGAAGAGAAACAAAGGTTATTTATTTTCTGCAATAATAAAATCTGTTGAAAATGAAAAGTTTGTAGATAGTTTTTAGTACAGTGATATTGTTAAAAAGATCAAGGACAGTAAGGCTGTATTTTCATCTATATTTTCTATACATATAGAATAGCACAGTCTTGGACCTATTTAAAACTAAGTGTCTTTCATGGTCTATAACCAGACAGGTTGAATTTAAAAATTGAGTAAATGGCTATCAAAAATGCACATGTAGGTTACACCCTTGCCAATTTTTTATTAATTTGGCATGGCATTATATTCATTACTATTCAACCCAAAGTAAGAAGTATATAAAAATCATCTATGAATATTTCTGCCATTAATAATAGTTATAAAGTATTAAGCTTTGTGCTGCTTATCAATTAATATAGACCATGACATTAAGCATAATGGTTTTTAACACACTATCTAACCTCCAGAAATGCTGGGTGGTTTTTCAATTCTAGCAGCTTTTGATGTTTATCTTCAAGAGTTCTGGTGGGGCTCCAAACCTTGAAAATAGATTTGGGGCTCCACTGAATTATTTTCAGCTCCTGTCACTGTGACCAGCTAACATAACACCTGGCCTCAGCTGGTCACGCAGCAATAGCTCTAGTGGCTGGCATGTGAGCCAGCTGATTGTCATGGTTGTGGCTGGAGGTTTCAGTTTTTTCCTTTCTAAGTAAAATGTATCACCCTATGATTTCAGTGATCCAAACAGCCACTGGCAACTGTTAAGAGTATCATATCTCAGTTCCTATGGAAACATGTAAAATGGGTTATAAAATATTTGTAATGTGTATTTTGTTTATTGTGACTATCTGATGCTACTTTAATGTTTCCTTTCTGATTATACTCTGGTTGAATTGTCTTCCGTTTTAGTGAAATCTTTAGTTTGCTCATGTCTTCTGTTTTCATATGATAGACTTTTGCCTCTATATATTCTCAATGGTAGCAGATTCTTCTCAATTTGTTGTATATTTTTTGAAAATGTATAGACAATTATTGTGTACAGGAAGGGGTATATCCAATCATCCATGCCAAAGGACTCTTTCACCATGCTGGAAAAGTTTCTAGAGAATGAATTGAATGGATAGTGAAGATCAAGTTCCTTCCTCTAACTTTTGTTTCCTTTTCTCTCCACAGGAACTTTTTACACCTGAATGCAAGTTTAAAGAATCTGTTTTTGAAAATTATTATGTAATCTACTCCTCCATGCTGTACAGACAACAGGAATCTGGTAGAGCCTGGTTTTTGGGATTAAATAAGGAAGGGCAAGCTATGAAAGGAAACAGAGTGAAGAAAACCAAACCAGCAGCTCATTTTCTACCCAAGCCATTGGAAGGTTAGTATTAAGTATACGTCATTGTTACATAGACGTATTACACATTTTATTTTTCAAATTGATAGATCTATGGCTATAAAAAACCCCCAAGAAGCGCTGGAAATGCCATTTATTTTGATCTGGGTGATGGTTACACAGATGCCTACTTAATTTATTCATTTAGAATTTGTGTCCCTATATACTTTACCATATTTGTGTATGTATGTGTACCAGGAAAAACTTCTCTGCCACTTCCAATGTCTCAAATCCTCAGAGCTACAACCACTCTAACCCTTAGATAATTTAAATTAATTAATTTAAAACAATTTTGAATCTATAATGATACAAATCTATGATGATAAGTATATTAGAAAAAGATGATAAGTATATTAGAATAGTAAGTTTTGAATGTGGAATCAAAAGTATTTTCCATTTTAATATTATCTAGGTGAAAGTAATTACATACTTGTGAATTATTATAATTACAGAAAATTAAGAGATAATAGCTTGACTCTTAAAGAACTTGCTGATATTACACATCTCCTTTCAAATTGCATAACTCTTCACTGTATACAGTTGTAGCATTACTTCTGTTACTAAAATAATTTATCCATATTCATTTATAAATAACGGTGACTTCACATTTACTTAGATGCCCAAAGAGCAGGCCACAAAGTTTTCATAATTAATCAACAACATCTGCACCTCTCTCATTAATGATTCTACCAAAAGTGTCATTTACTTTTATCTATGTAAGATTTGAGAATTACAAAAGTATTTGATTGTAGGCTATTCACATGTACTCTCTATTCTAATACTTTTGTTTTCTCTTTTGCAGAAGATCAGACCTATAGTAACTCAGTAAATACTTTAAATCAGCTTAGACAGCTCAATTTTCTTTTTGTTTTTTTTTTTTTTATTCCTATAGGAAAGGCTTAGCCATCAAGAGAAAATGCATATTGGTTTCATGATGCATATTCTCTATATTGAAATAATTTTGAGCAGTCAATTCTTCATATCTGTGAGTGTCTAATTTTCAGTTTGCCTAAATTCAGAAAAACCACTCTTATTGCCTAATACTATTTTTATAATTTCAATGATGTTGACTTACTGTCACTCTTAAATTACATTTGTCTGTAGAACAATTTATCGAAACCCAAACAGTTAGCCACCAGGGCCTGTGCAGGAAATGACACATTATTCTAGTGTCTGAAATATTCTCAGTACATGGTAGATATAAGGAAGATTAGAGTAGAAGGAAGTTAGAGGATTTACCTTTTCTTCCCAAATAACACATCCATGATACGCTTTCATTGTTTTAAATGAATTTCGGTAACATTGGACTCACCAATATTTAAATGCAAATAAAAAATTAAAAACTAAGGCCACAGAAGCTCTAACAAGACCATGGTGTATTTGCCACCTTACGTTATCTCTTTTCACTCATTTTTACAGTTAAAAATTGGCTAAATATTTAAAACCTTGCCTTTTAGCTGCATAAATGTAGCAAAACCCAAATGGGGTTTTATGTCATTTAACTGAGGTAAAATTTGGGAACCAGTTGTTTTGTATATCCCATAGCAAATATCTGAGATAATCATGATGTGGCATAGAATACTTGGTATTTCACTTATGTTTTTAATTGTAGTGTGTATATGATTGTATATGTGTGTATACATATATATATACACACACGCATACATATATATATACACATACATGTATGTATATATATATGTGTGTATATATATATACACATACATATATATGTATGTATATATATGTATGTGTGTGTGTGTGTATATATATATATATATATATGAGAAGGAAACAATAGTTTTCATGTATTCAAAAAATTCATAGAAGTACTCTAAAAACAGTTAAGGGGGTAGATACTATGATGACAGAGGCTATCACATTGTTTACTTGATAGAAGAAAATTAATTTCAAACTTTCAAAACCCATACTGGATAAAAATTATGTTATTGGAAATGTTAGGACAAATTAAGTACCTGGTTAATTATTGATAGGCTAGAACATTCATCTCTCTGATGAAACTTTACTACATAGAAAAGGTCAGGCCAGGTGCAGTGGCTCATGCCTGTAATCCCAGCACTTTGGAAGACTGAGGCAGGCAGATCACAAGGTCAGGTATTTGTTTGAAACCAGCCTGGCCAACATGGTGAAACCCTGTCTCTACTGAAAATACAAAAATTAGCTGGGCATGGTGGTGAGTGCCTGTAATCCCAGCTACTCAGGACACTGAGGCAGGAAAATTGCTTGACTCTGGGAGGCAGAGGTTGTAGTGAGCTGAGATCGTGCCACTGTTGCACTCCGTCCCGGGCAACAGAGCAAGACTCCATCTCAAAAGAAAAAAAAATCAAGGTCACGAGAAGTGAGAGACTGGAATATGCTTCCAGGATATGCATTAGTTCCTTTTGCTACCTTGGCAATTCATTATTAGAAGTCTTAATAGAAGTCTTATATACATTTGCTCTTTCAAGTATGTGTGCTGCTGAAAACTCAGATGATGCATTGATGCCAGAGGCCATGTTCTACCCCCTTGAACATAAGGAATGCATATGGTAGTTCCTCTTAACTAAACCTAAGAACTCTTCATAAAATACCTTAAACTTTCAAAAACCTAAAAAGCAGTTTAGGCAGCTCTAATGCACTTGTATTTCTGATGACAGATGACTTTAACCCCTAGTTTCCCAAAGTACCAGTCACTCTTATATGTCCTTTCCCAGGACGTCCAAAAATTATTTTCTAAAAAGCCACGTGAACCACTGTGATTATGCCATCAGATACATTCAGATAATTCTTCAGGCAATTTCAGTTGCTGTCTAGCCATTATGTTTCTACCCCTATATCAGGTCAATTATTAGATTTTTTAATAATGTAGCAAAAAACAAGGAGTTGCCTTCTGCTGCTCAAGGGTCTCTTTCCATGATTGTAGGAAATGAACATTGAAATGAAATCTCCTGAAGCCTCTGGCTTATGGGAAGAGAGTATGTGTGTAGCTTTGAAGTTGACACTATATGACTATGTTGCTTTTGAACCAGATGAGAGAAAATAATTTAGTGTTCTAGGATGCAAATATCATAGCTCGCCAAGATTGATTGAGGTGAATGAGAAGTTCAACTGTTGATATTAGTGTATAGTCAAAGGGAAGTCTGAGTTTTCCTTTTTAAAAGTTAAGTTAAATGCTTGTCATTCTCCTACAGTTTGTGTGTGTGTGTGTGTGTGTGTGTGTGTGTGTGTGTGTGTCTGTTTTACATCATGGGCCCACAAAGAGGCCATAGCTCCCATTTAAACTCTGTCATAGACAAAAGCCATACATGCTTATGTACCTGTTTTAGGTATACAGACCAGACAATGTGAAAGGAGTGTTGTCTTCTGTGGGCTGGAAATGATTGCTTTACAACAGGAATTCCTTCTCAATGGAATTGCTTTACCTCAGGGAAAACAGAAGTGGGCAAACTGCAGTGGTCTGTGCATGTACAGATGGACCATTCCCGCACCTAACCAAGCACTGTTTCCTTTTCCTCCTCCTCTTTTCCCATCACTAGTTGCCATGTACCGAGAACCATCTTTGCATGATGTTGGGGAAACAGTCCCGAAGCCCGGGGTGACGCCAAGTAAAAGCACAAGTGCATCTGCAATAATGAATGGAGGCAAACCAGTCAACAAGAGTAAGACGACATAGCCAGATCCTCACAGGTGTTGTGACTTACTTGTCCTGAGCACAGTTGAGTGATTTATCCTCACCAGACATTCCTGCTCTGTGGCTGAAGAGCAGCTGGAAGTAAGCTAACGCTTGCTCTTTGCTGTCTCTGAACTTCTCTGTTGCAAGTGGATAAATCTCAACCTGTTGCGCCCCCCCACAACAAGAAGACACCTGGATAACCAGCTAAACTCAGACCATGGAATGCCCTACCAGATATGGAATGCCTTTTTAATATCTTTTCTGTGACTGTGACACTTCATGTGAATGACATACTTCACAAGTACACTCGATACCTTGCCTGCTGACAGCTACCCATAATCCTTTTTGAGTCCTGTTTCAGCGAAATCTATGTGTTTAAGTTCAATTTTGTAGCACACAAATAATATTGAGTAATTTCTAGTTAGACGCTGTAAACCTGTGCTATTATGGATTTCTCTTCTTCCCATTTTTACAGGGCTGCTCGCTCCACTGTCTGTGACCTTTTTGCAGGGATTGTGTTCCTCTAAATCTTAAATGTTGCAGTTGGCTTAGTTCAGAGAGCAATCAGGGAATCAGGAAGCCTTCTAAACCTATTATTACAAATCGCATCTATCAAGATTAAGATTGTTGTCTCTGGCTCACACTATAGATTAAACACACATATACGCTCTATCCAGTAGCAGATACTGTGCTCCCAAGGTCGGCGTTGCCTGGGTGGGAAATGGCTCAAACACAATCCAGGGAAGCTCTCTATGATGTGTGTTTGACATCCCCCTCTAGTTTCTTTGTGTGTGTGTGTTTTATACATATCACAAGCTTACTGGTAATGGTAACATTTGCCTTGCCCAGCGAGCAAGACCCACTGGTTTTTGAGAAAGTGGGTCCAAAGATTTCTGTAGGCCTTGTAGGCCTGATTAAGGTTCATTTTTCATCATCTATTAATTCTCATTATTTGGAAAAAAAAAAAAAAAGAAAAATCAATAATTACAACCTACAAGAATTGCGCTACCTAAATCCATTTCAGATATACTCCGTCCTGTTTTTAATGAACCAAACTTAACGCCATCCCCGTTTCTGGCTGCGTCCCCCTCATACTCAGCAGAGCATGGGCAAGACGGCTGTTGTGTTCTTTCCTGCAGCAGCAATGCAAACGTTAGTTATAAATTAGACTTTAATATTTTTGGTGTTTAATGACAAGTTTTTAAACTGGACATATTAGGAAAAAATATTTTTTTTAGCTCAGCATGCTGAGTCTGGTACTGTGTATTTCACCAGTACATGCCTCTAACTCAGCACTTGGGGCCCATGCTGCCCAGTGGCTGGGTTAGAGGTGCCTTGCCATGATCTCAGAATACAGTCTGTTGAATTATCCTAGATGAAAATAAAGGCAAACCAACATATTCATCCATTAGGATTTTGGTCCATTCTGTTTATTAATTACCTTTTGTTATATTTTGCATTATTAATAATTTCCTTTTTAATTTAATACTGTTTGAACTCTGAGCTTAGGTAAGACTACTACCAAGAAAGGCCAGGGACAGTTGACTACACAGTGAAGAGTCCATGCAAAACGTTCAATATTGGATCTAAAGGGTTTCAAAATGTTTCATACCAAACTGTTTGGGAATATATCTGTTAACTCTCTGTACACCTAATAAAATTCAATGTTTCTCAGAAGAGTTCATTGAGACCAAACTGAACCTCATTTATTGAAAATTATATGTAGGATCAATGTACTGGCCTCTTGTTATTCTTTCTCTGTGGGAGGATGACCCGGTTGTCATTTTCCCCATCTGCACTGTATTTATTGGGAAATTATTTTGTCACTGCTTTCATAAATCTTCATGACAGCCCTTGCCCAGCATTAAAAAATTCTGGCCTGCTTAGCTGATTAAAGGTTTAGTATAAATTTAACTGTTTATGCTTATTTCATTTTCATATTGGATTCTACTTGAATAAATAAAAAGTTAGCAGAACGTTTGAGTAGATTTATTGTCAATGATGCTAAATTACAAATATGAAAAAAATTATTCCTTTGGTCATTTCTGATTTGGTGTTATGTCATTTTGAAGGCTATTGTTTTTAACGTGATCAGTTAAAATACATTAGATAAATTCTGTTAACCAATTATTTTCAGAAAACATATACCCCATAATATGTGGCAAACAATGAGCACTTTTTAACTTGTAATCCAATCAAATGGGCTTAATAGACACTACTTACAGCATCTCTCACACACACACACACACACACACACACACACACACACACACACAGAGCAAACAACCCCATCTATTTGTTATTGATAATCAGCCCTACTTGCTGGTTTCTTTTTCCCCTGCAAGTCTGTTTATTGTTTTAAATTAAGACAAGATTTATTTTTGTAAATGACTGAGATTTATGTAAATGTGTACCTCTGTTGTGTTTTATATATGGGGTGTCTATAAGGGCATTTATCCCTATGAAGGATGTCAAATACTTTCTTCTAATATATGTTTAGACATTTTGCAGAGGGGTCCTTGTTATCTGTAATTTAGTTAGGTCATTTACTTTGTGTCTGGTCTCACCTGTTGCATGGGAAGAGGGCAGCACTGATGAACTGCATGTAGTAGGTACCTGTGTATCAAGAACTGTTGGTATGTATTGCTAATTTGCATACAAAGAGTTTGTCTGCATTGTACAGTTTTTGTGTTTAATATCATTTGTTGTATTCACAAATACAACATATTGAATAAACTATATGAAGGCATATTAAACAACATCAAACAACTTTATGTAACAAAATGGCATTGCATCACCCACCAATATATAGAAATGTCATGTAAATAAGTTGGTAAACTCAATTTTCCCCTTTACCATGCCAAAGAAAATTTTAGCTCTTTGATGATACCTCTCTTGCTATTTGTTTGGGATAAGACTTCACCACTTTTTTCCTTCAGAAATTAAGTTTGCTGTTATTAAGTAAGTGCAATCTGTCACTACTGATGTTCCGTATAGTAAATCTGATGGAATTCATTTGTATCTAAAGACCGTGTGTTTTGTACCTCCATGTGCATATGTCCATTGTATCAAGTCTCTAGAAGACTCCATTCCTTCTGCATGCATATCTAGTGTGGGAGGGTTAGTTCTACTGATTTGTTAGAGTAGCCGATTGCTCTGCCAATCCCTCAACAATGCTCGGAAATGTTGTTTTGATATTTCAAGTGACAACAGTTTTGTTTTCTAATAAGATTGCTTTTTAAAACATTTTGCTACCACTTTACTTGGAAAAATTAGAGAAGACATGCAAGTTCTCCACCCTGTGTAAGGAGCAAAATGGAACTGAGTATTATTTCATTACAAATCCTGAAGAATTCGGAGATTCTTGCCCTAAATGTTGGCTTGTCCTGAATGGTTTTGGGTAGGGGTGATTTAAAGAGATCCACGATGGGGCCAAATGACTCCTGCTCCAGTTCTTCTAGTAGTTTGCCTCTTAGGGAGCAAGCAGAGTTTCTTTATCTTACCTGGCCACTTACTTAGTTAATATTTTAAGCACCAAAAGAGTTCCTTTTATCAGGATGAACAGTATCAGATTTGGTTCTCTTTAAAAACCAAAAACTTCTTATTTTTTAAGTTAGACATCTATCACTTCATTTAAAATTATCTACCTAATATTAGAGATAATTAGCATTTGATACATATTCAAGAAGAGACCACATTGACTAACATCCAGTTTAGAAAGAAGATGAAAATAATTGAAAATTATTTTCAATTTTAATTCAGTACAAGGCTATATCAAGAGAAACCTATTGGGCTAAATCCTCAATTATTTTCCAAACTGCAGGCATGTCAAAATCCAGGATGTACATTGTGTTACTTTGAGTGAAATATAAGTCATAGCTTAGGTTTCTTAGCCTGCAATGTGAAACTCTTGACTATCTTGAATATTGAGTAGGATTTCAAAGTGTTGATGATATTTGAGTCTGCAAACTAAGGATGAGTTATATTTTAGTTTTGTTTTTTTCTTGATTTTCACAAAGTCTAATTCCAATGTCTACTGGCAGAGATTATATTTGCATTTGAGGTGGTGGAGGACATTCCTTCCAAAGTGCTACTGGAATCCAGATAAACTCAAGGAGCCCGGAAAGGCAATGGGTATAATGTCTCTCCTCTTATGTCTTTGCACTTTAGTTGACTTTTTTTGGAAAAGTCCCCGGGTGGACTTTCTCAATGGTGATTTGCTAAACAAGCAGGGTTAGTGTCAATACTTTCTGTAAACTTGTTGCATCCCTTCCAATTGACGTGAATCCCACTGCAACCTCCTCAAACCAGAATGAGCCAATCAGATTTGCTTATTTTCTCCCACCTGTTATAAGTTTGTTCTTGCCCTGCTTGCTTTTTAGAGGGAGTTTCTATCATAGAGTTGGAAAAGTACAAAATCATATTTTAGAAGAAAAAAGTTTGTCTTTACATGTAATTATTTTTTCCAATCTAAATTCAATCACTTCTTAATAGATATATTGGTGTTTGCATTGCTGGCATCAAAACCACACACACACACACACACACACACACACACACACACACACAGAGAGAGAAATATAGTGGACAGAAATAAGTCAAAATAAAATATTTCTGTTTTCAAAGAAAATGCATTCCTTAGAGTTTAGGTATCATGTAACTTTGTTATAATACGTTTCCAGTACTATGGTTTCTAACTAAATGAACACTAGAACAGAACTGACCATGTTTTCATCTTTGTCCAACATTTTAAACTTTATGGTATAATTTCTCTAATATCTAAATTCTTTTTCTGAGAAAACAAATGCTGAGAACATTTTTGACACTGTTCTTACATAAGACTATGAAAAAGAGCAGCACTTTTGTTGTAGTTATTGTTCTTAATAAAAAGGATAACAACAGAGGGTTATAAAAAAAAAAAAATAAGACTCACCTGAGGTTTTGTGACGAGCCATAGAGAATCAAGGGGAGTTCCAGTGGAGCTGAGGCTGACAAAGTACTGTTCAGCTGCCAGCCAAATCCACCCTTAATCTGTTTTTGTATGGCCTGGGAACTCAGAAGGAATTATTTTTTTTTACAGCTTTAAAGTAGTAAAAAGAAACAAAGAAGAATATGAGACAGGGATGTATGTGGTCTGTAAAGTTTAACTTTCTGGTCCTTAACAGGAGGATAAACCCTGGGATAAAAGAATCCAAAGCTCATTTGTATTAGGATGGCTAGATAATGTAATGGGTTCCAATGTCTGTGCATCAGCAAATATGTCATCAAAATTGCTACAGAACAATAATAATAGGTTGTTTGCAGCTTAAAATGTTTAGGTAGTGAAGAAGAAAGAATATAACCTACATTATTTATTGACTACCTATATTTCCCTCATTTTACAAAAGAGAGATATCAATTTACTTAATAATAGAACTACAACATGGTTGCATTCCTTAATCTCAGGATAGAGATAACAATTTTATAAATGTATTACATTATGAGAACATTATTAGTACTAGAAAAATCAGCATCAGTTAAATGTTCTCTTAAAATAATTTTCAATATTAAATTTTTAAGTAACTCAGTGGATGCATATTTTCCTTATTTTTGGTAATTTGACTTATAAAATTCAAACCATGATTCTAGAATACTTACATCATTAAAATAAAATTTCCAAGTAAAAATTTTCATCTTAAAATAATATAGAAATGATTTTGCTACATTATTATAGGATTTTACAAAATAACTCACCTTTAGAAAAAAAAGTGTTTTTTTTTTTTTAAGCTCTAAATAACTAAAGGTTGCCTAATGTGTATAAGTAGATTTACCTGTAAATATATAAGGGAAGTCCCAATTATTGTACATTTTCATAATTCAATGTGAATTTCATACAAAGCAAAGTTTCACCATTAAGAAAATAAACATTTTTGTTCCTATCACTGAGTGAATATTTGTAATTTCTATTTAAGCCATTTCTAGATTTTTTTTTTTTTTTGGTCCTTTTGTGAGCCTCTGAGATTGGTGCCATTTTATCACAATATTTCTCTTCTTGATTCTTTGCATGAACCCAGGTTTCCAGAAAGGTATCCTTAGAAAAAACAAAGCATTTTAAGGGAAATGGATGCATACTTCAGTCCCATTATATATGTAACTGAATATCATCTTTTTAAAAGGCCACATTACCATGGAATAAATTAAAATTTAAAAATCCAGCTTCTTGTACGCATAACCCCTGTCCAGTTTTTAAAATGTGATCCCTTATTTCTAAAAACCTAAAATGGATATCCCTGAATAACAATTCATTTTTAAATTAATTATCAGTAGGTAAATATATGCTGACACAGAGTATAAACAACTTCTGTCACTATTTATTTAAAATGTTACATTGTACATTTTTCATAATTTGAGAATCTTCTTTTAAAGTTTAAAGTGAGAGTAGACAAAGTACTTACTCATTTAGTGTTTAAATGATTTAATGACAAATAACTTAATGACTAGTCTTTGCTCTTGATCCAGCCCCAGTTTGACTTTCTACCTCCTGTGTGTTTCTCTTCATTGTCCCCACGTGAAAATGTTGACTGGTAGGGAATTCTGGAAAAATCATATCCATTGATTAATGTGAATATGCTTGTTTTCCTTAGATTCTAATATGGTCTTTCTTGTGTAAGAATGTGGATTTCTAATAGCCATGCAATTCAGTGTTTCTCAATTTGGGCACTATTGACATTTGGGGCTGGGTCATTCCTTGCTTGGGGGTTGTCCTGTGCACTGGAGGATGCTGAGCAGCATCCCTGGCCTCTACGCACCAAATGCCCACGGCATATCTTCACACCCCACCCCATGTGACAATCAAAATTGTCTGTAGATGTTGTCAAATGTCTTTTGGGTGGAAAAATTGCTCTCGTTAGGAACCACTTATGTTAATTGTGGAAGAAACATTTCTTTTCTAGTGTTATTTGCATCTGAATTTGCATAACTCATTTCTAATAGGTACTCAGATTTCATTCGTAATTCAGAAATAGAAAAACATACAATGGTCTTTTTAGCCTGTCCTAGTGGTGATTATACATGGTTTCCTTTGCATTTATATGTTCTAATGGCCTAGTAAAATAAGAATCCAGACCTCTCTCATGTAATTGTTAAGGATATTCTGAGCCAAGCCAGATTTCACATGCATTTCCATTCCATCCATCCCAGCATTCACAGTTTCCACAGCTACATATTCCGTTTCCTGCAATAAAATACACAAGAATCATGATCATGATAAAAAATGTGCCAAGTTTAAACATGCTATTATAAATCATAAGCGTCCACAATGAAATCATTTCATTCATCCTTGGTATAATTTCTTATTGTGCAACAATATTATTATATCTTATTAAGCCGCTGTGATATGTCTAATCTTTCAAACAATCAGTGGCATTCATCTGGTACCACCATTTACCGATGAGATAGTAACAGTCCTGTATCACCCTGGCTAGGCTTTTAGGTGACAATTTTGTTTTCCCTTAGAGAGCAAGTTATGTCTGACTTATGAATAAATACTGAAAAACAAAGTTCTTTGACATAACATGAGGCAGGCCACATAATCAGCTAGAAGACAGTCTTATGTAGTAGGGATGGTTGGAAAGCAAGGGTCTAACATAATGACACACCCAGCCAGAGCTGAGGAGGACAAGTATACACAACTCTGTTTCCTCTGTAACTTGGCTAAAAACAAATGAATTTATAACCAATTATGAGGACTCAATAAATTAGGGTAACTCAATAAATTAGTGGCTGTGACACTGCTGAGCCCTCTTTACACCTTTCCCCCATACACATCCAGTTCCCTAAAAGCAACCAACACATCAATGAGTGGTACTCAGATTCTGTTTAAAAAAATATTCCATTCCCTGTACGATGTTCAAAGTAAAATGGTTGCCAAGAAAATTGTATTCTGTATTAATATGTAACTGCATACATGTGCGTTTGAGGAGGAAGGTTACTTTGGGGAAGTATCCCAAATAATCACAGAATTCAGCTTCATTCTCTTGTATTCTTCTATGCCTAGGAATAATGTGAGGCCTTATTCCCAAATGCCCACTTCCCCCTTGGTAGTTACTTCATATTCACAGTTGACCCTCTTGGTCCGGCTACCTAAAGCATTGCATGATGAGTGTCCCTTGGCTCTATAACAAACTGTGGCATAGAGCAATTAGAAAAGGTTAATACTGCACCTGTACAAATGAGACCATCATGTTTGTCGCAGTCTCTGTCATCACAGTCACAGAATTCCCCAGAAATATACCATTCTTCAGCAGAACAAATGCACTTTCCACAATGACAAGAACCTGAAATTACAAAGGCTATTACTTGCCATCACAAAATAACTAAAGGTTTCCATCTTGAATACAATATCGTTGACACACTGACAACAGGCTTCTAATAACCTATCATCCAAAGGTAAAAGTGTATTGAATGGTTGCTTTCTCAGAGGGGAGCTTTACTTACTGTAATTCATAAAGGTCATCCAGGAAAGCCTTCATTATAGATCTAGACAGTTGCAATTAGCCTTGAGCAAATGTCCCATGCCCCAGTCTGGTTGAAATGTCAATGAGAACGGAATGGGGCTGATTCTTATAGATGGTCTTCCAAAAAGGTATTCAAAAATAGATTTCCTCCCCGCAAATTGAATCAAGTTTTTAAAGTGCCTGTTCTTTAAAGGAATGAAATAGGGAATTGTATTAAATTAGGATGCATTTCTAATTAAAATAATTACTAAATTATTGTGCTTATAATTTTGGATTTTGTTTACATGATTTCCTTGGAGTAGCACACCTGCATATTGGGTGGCTAATTAAAGTGCTAAAAATGCACACAATCACTCAGTATATCTGCCTTATGAGACCTCATCTTCAGGATTCTCTGTCATAATCTAGGGTAGCTCAAATACTCCCAAAGTACATCCTTTATGAGACTCTGGATTCAACTCTTTTCCCCTCCACTTCACCCATTTCTCCTCCTACCTAATTAAAAAACTGCCTCTTTGGTTATTTAAAATACCCTAATTTACTGAGTAAAAATTGTATTAGTGGTATATTTTAAATCAAAGAAAACAAATTAAGTAAAGGGTATCCCAGACGGAAATAAGTTCTCTCAGTATAAACAGCTTTCCATGACAGGCTAAAAACCCTTACATGGAAAAACTGTCTCAATGACAGCAGGAAGGACTTTAAAATGAAAAAGAAACAAATAAAAAGAACTTCCTTTTCCTCCTATTTCCTTGAGTTGGTTGTTCTTTCCAAACATGACTTCCCTTTACTAAAAGATGGCTATCACTAATTTTTTAAGTCAAAATCCACCTTGAAAGAATATGCAGTTGAAAAACATATTTTGGCATATTTAACAAAACTGTAGAATTGTAAGTTCAAAATATATTGAAAAGGGGCAAGAATCAATCATTAGTGCTTCTTTTAAAACACAGTGATTAAAAGTGAGTTAACAGCCAGGGTGATTAAAGTGATTAGGGAAAAGGAATTGTGGTCATCACAGATATCATCATGAAAGGATTCAGGTTTATGTGTCCCAAGCATGA